TAGAAAGTATGTTTTGTTTCTGAGCTTTTACATTATATTTGGAAAAGAAAATATTTTAAAACATACGTTGTACATTAAAATGTTTAAGTTAGTGACAAACAGCCATACAAAGGCTTAGAGAACTTAACTACCTCTTCAGTGACCAGTTAACTGTGTTCTGTACTGATTTCCACAGATTCTAATGCTAGAGTGTAAGAAGAGAATGAGGTACGTCTCACACCAGACATTCAGTTCCATTCAGTGGACAGTGTTGAAACATTTTTTCTTATCAGCATCAACAAATATCATTTGTACAGGGGTGCCCAAACTTTTGCATATGACTGGACTGTAGCTCCTCATTGTAGCTTATCATTGTTATATAATAGCTGAACAGCCCTGTATGATTTAAAGGATATTTAATTAATTATTTAGATACAATGGTTTACTAAAATGGCTGGTTTTCATATGAATGTTTGGATTTGGCTGCTTTGCTCTTTGTTTAAATTTTGAATTTAAACTTTTTGAGATTTAATGCTGATCTGTAGACTGAACTGAAATACAGTGGAAACACTGGTTTGTGTTTTTACATTGTACACCTTGTTAATCCTTTGCTGACCTCTGTACTGACCTGCAGAGATGAAGTGGTGAATTAAATGATTGATGATGAAAATGAAGCATGTGATATTTTTCAACTTCAGATTTAACACAGGATTTATTATTCCACATGGTTGTTTATACCAAGCCCATCTCAAAAGCCAACATGGTTCCTGAAATGTGATCTTCCAGCTTTGACTGCTTTGTAAAAAAAGATTTTATAATAATTTCAATTTTTAATCATAGGAATGATATTTTAGCATGTAAGATGTCATTTTTCATTGGTTAGAATTCAAGCCTTTTTTCAAATACTTATAATTGCAGTAACACTTTTTACTAACATGAATTAAAGTTTAACGTTTTTTTTTAATTATCATTATATTTAAAAATGAAATTGACATGCTGAAATTCCATTCACTGTGGCAAGCCATTTTAGCTTTTAGCTTTTCCTATTTTTCTCAGGAATTCAATTTACACAAGTGAAAATTAAATTTCAAAATCAGGAATTTTATTAGCACAGTGAAAATTAAAATTCCATATTTAATTTAAATCAAAATATTTACTATTATTTAATGGTTTAATTATTTCATGTCAAAATTCTGTTTTCCTTTGTAAGAGATTCATTTTTACAGGTAAACGTCATTTTCACATGTGAATTCTTTGTAATTTCATAGTAAATGTAAAAATAGGATTCAGAGCTAAAACTGCTTGCAATAAATGTGAACATGTAATTAGACTCTCTACATGTCAGATTACTGTTCACTTACTTAGATTACAGATCTTCATTTCTCACACAAGAGGGGGATCCAGCACTGAGACCTCCGTGAAGCTTACTACGTGCTTACTACTAAAGATCAAGTAGATTACATAAATTAAAAAGACATAAATATTTATTGTTTGTTTCTACCAATGATTATTTGTAACAGAGCCAAATCAGTGTCTGTGTGTTAATTTAGAAAATATAATGAGAATATTGACCTGTCTGATGGTCATTCTGCAGAGAACAAGAAGATGGTGCAGATTCCTGTATATATCAGGAATTCTATTCTAGTATATTATATTATGTTCCATTTATGTTCCATTAATATATTTTTGTTTTTATTCTGAAGTTACTGGATAAATGTTGTCACAAGCGATACCATCGTTTACCAGATCATTGTTTCTGGATGATGCAGATCTGAGAAACACGCTTTTCCCGTCCTGAGCAGCCCGTAACGGTCATTTGCTTTAATCACTGTATGAGTAAAAGTCAAGAGCATTTTTAAATGACTTTACACCTGAAAATATGGCCTGGTAACATAAACCTTAGCTTTAGCAGAAGCCTCAACCAATCCTCACCACAATGTTTGTACCCAGCACAAAGTTAAAAAACATTCAGCACTGACTGAATGAAAAGGCAACGGAAGTTCCTTAAACAAAGGACTGTGCACGTTGAGTAGGAGTGCAACGATTATTCGACTTAGTCCACTAAAATCGGAGACCACTTCACGACAGCGCGATGGGAGCCTCGAGAACGAAATCCTCAGAAGTGCGGAGCTGAACTGAAACAGGTGGTCAGATGTGCTGTTTGTAAAGCCGAGCTCAGCCGGCACGGAGCTCATCCTCCATGATGGAGCACTGAAGAGGAACCTCGTCGCTCACTGGGTGAAGAAGATTCGTCTCGGTGAGATACGCCGCGTCCCAAACCGCACACTAGCGCACTAGATAGTGAGTAAAAACAGCGCGTATACCATTAGAAGTGCACTCATTAGTGTAGCGTGTGAAGTACAGGAGTGTGTGGTTTGGGACGCAGCGATAGTTGTGCTAGCGAGCTAACGTTAGTTAGCTAATGCTAATGTTAAAGTCCGTTTTCATGTTGTGAGCTGAGCTGGAACATCTTCTATTTCGAAATGTCTGAGCTCTGGAATCGTCAGTGCAGCTGAAACAGAGAAGCATGTAACTATTATTCACAGTAACCTTGTTCACTTTACAGATAATGTTTACACCTTTAAACACCGCACCGTCGTCTTAACGCCGAGGCCGCCGGTGCGGTCAGATTCGACGAACACAGGAGGGCGTTTTCAAACAGTCTTCCGTTCTCCGAGGACGTTTAGCTCCACTCGCTAACAGTTCCAGGAGGCAGTTCTCCGTAAACACACAGGGCAGCTGGACAGAGGGTTACCGCTGAAATGAAACTTTACACAAAATCGTTCAAATTGAACTGTTCATTGAGAATTTCGCCACAAACATTCCCCACTTTCCCATCCGCTGCATCAGAGCGCGTCTCCTCTGCAGCGGGGAGTATCTGAGACTCCTACAGGAGCACGGAGAGATACTGACCCTCCTCCGATTCAGTAAAGACCTGTGATTGTAGAATGTAGTTTCAGCTGAGTGTAGACAGACAGCAGAACGCACAGAGCACTGTTAATGTAACATTTACTTTAGATTTATTTTTATTTACCTGAAATTTTTTACCTATAAATTTTGACAGGAAAAATATATTGGAGTTTTATTTTTTTATCTTTTTCATTAGCAGGGAAGTTTATTAAAACAGTGAATTCTTGAATGGTATTCCTATCATTGTCTTCATTGTTAGTCAGCAAATGCATAAAACAACCTCAAGATCAATTAAAAGCTAATAGCTACATAAAAGTTATTTGGTAATGTAGTGATTCATAATCCGAATAATTGATTATTCGTTTCAGTAATCGATCAATTATTTGACTGTCAGATTAGTCGTTTGTTGCAGCCCTATTTCACTGTATCCAATGCTGCTCCGAGAGTAGTGACCAGTTTACTGTATCTAATGCTGCTCTCAGAGTAGTGTCCACTTTACTGTATCCAATGCTGCTCCGAGAGTAGTGACCAGTTTACTGTATCTAATGCTGCTCTGAAAGTAGTGACCATTTTACTGTATCTAATGCTGCTCTCAGAGTAGTGTCCACTTTACTGTATCCAATGCTGCTCTGAGAGTAGTGACCATTTTACTGTATCTAATGCTGCTCTCAGAGTAGTGTCCACTTTACTGTATCCAATGCTGCTCTGAGAGTAGTGACCATTTTACCACTTAACTACATCCAATACCGCCCTGAGAGTTGTGATGACTTCATTGTATCTAATGCTGCTCTGAGAACAGCAACTATTGCAATGTATCTAATACCGCCTTGAGAGTAGTGACCATTTCAGTGTATGTTGCTCTTAGAGAAGTTACCATTACAGTACATTTTGTGCCGCTCTAAAAATGGTGACCATTTTACTCACTTCACAAGAGTAGTAGAGACCACCTAGAGAGTAGTGCCCACTTCACTATATCTGATGCTGCTCTGAGAGGTGTAACCATTTCACCATTTATCTGGAACACAGAAATTGAAAATGGAGCAGAAAAACAGCATTTACAGTTTACCATCTGAAGACTATTAACGGAAATACACCCTCTTTTGCCAGCAGTTACAGTTTACAGTCTAAGACAACAATCTTCATTAATGTTCAGACTAAACTTTATAAACTACCCAGATAGTTAGCATATATCGGTCTGCTGGCTCAATTAGGTTGGCACCTCACTGTTTGCCACTGCTGGTCCACCCTCGGACCACCCAGATTACTGTCCTGCATACAAGCATGTTTTTATCTCCTTAAACAGATTTCAAATGCACAAAGTCTTAAAATAAACTAAGACAAATATTACAAACAAGTGACAGAAAATAAAGACTAGGCCTAATAAACAATAATTTCATAGAAAATGTTGTTGCTGATATTGTGCTAGATTAAAATTATTTACTAAACTAATATTACAAAGTATATGCAAAGTATACTAAAGAAAGAAAGAAAAAAAAAAGTGAATTGCACTGTGATTGGAAAATAAGCTATGACAAGTGGAATTTGTTCTAACCACCGGTGGGCCGCCCAGAATACTCTGAGCAAAACGCCAGTGGACGGCCAGGTTTGCCTTCACTATCCTCTTGCCTAATGCTGCTGCTCTGAGAGTATTACAAAACAAGTTTGCTTGCTAACTGCATTTAAGATTCAAACATTTAGCATTTTGGGTACACTTAGAAGAGAGTAGAGCCAAACAGTCATATTACAAAAGGAAATGTGACAATACAGTCATATTCAGCAATACTGCCTGGTTATTTTATAAATAAAACGCACATTACAGAGCTAGTTAGTTAGCTATATGTCTTCACTAGCACACAGCTGTAATGTAATGAGACAGTTTCTAAGTTTCTTACCATGTTAATCACAGTGGATGAACATTTAGAGTAACGGACTTCACTTCAAATTAAACATAACGTACCTTTCCTCTCTCAGTACTGCAGTTATGAATACAGTCCTCAAGGCTCTGTAACAGCTCTGAGGTTCCTCCGTTCAGCTGTGTGTTGAAGGCAGTGTAGATGTGTCCTTCACTGACTACATTTCCCATAATCCTCTGTGTCAGAGCTGACGTGTTTGGAAAGTTAGCAGCAAACAGCAGCACTGACTCCGTGTACAACGCTGCATTCTTGGGCACTGACTTATGATACCGCACAGGCAGCAAGGCACGACAGACGCAGCTCTGCTGAGGGTAGGAGGCCTGCAGAGTTGCCATATTGAGGGAAGTCATTTATCGTTTAACTTTGTGGGAAATGGTGTGAGTGATACAGTGAGGACAGATGAGGGTGTAGGGTTTCTATAATCAACACTGTGTAGAATTATAAACTCATACTGTTCGCTGTTTTATCAGTTTCACTTCTTCACATTCTCACTTCTGCACATTTTCACACACAATTTCTGTTTACTTACTGAATTTAACGTATTGGAAAAAACTGAAACATAAAATGTATGTGCAAAAAATGTGGCATATTTTACAGTTTATGTATTTTTCTAGTTAGTGAAACTCAACTAGAGTAGAAATGTTTAGATTTAGAAATCAAAAATTAGCAGAAAAATGTCATATTTAAGTGTGTTGTCTGTAGAGAACGTGTTCACTTATTTACACTTAAATTAGGGGTGTTCAAACATTTGTATATGGCTGTGTACAATGAAAAGGGACTTACTTGTTTTAAAATAACATGATTACATAATTTCAAAAAGAAACTGTTGCATGTTTACTTTACTGCTTTATGTTGTTAACGCCTCACAAGAGGAGAATCAATATATGTGGCAACCCTGTTCACTTCCTCCTTCAGACCGGTTAGCTCTCGGTGTACAGAGAAGAACCGCTGCTCGAGTAAACGATGAATATATCATGATAAACACACAAAGACGCACATCTACACTGGATAAACATGGAGAAGATCGTCTGGTGGCTGTTTCTGGTGGCTACTGTTCGTCTCGCGTTATCAGGTGAGTCTGATCTCAGATAAAACGATCTTCCGCTAAAATACGCAGTCAGTCATCGCGGCGAACTTCCTCCATCTGAAATTACACCGTGTGATGTTTGATGCTCAGTAATGTTGTTTACTCTGTACGTCAACAAGAGCATACAAACAAAATATGATATAATTTTATGGTCCATTAATTAACGAATATTTTTTAAAATATTCTTTTCACAACCCACTGTCTGTGTAGGCGCACCAGCGTGGTGGGTTTGGAGGTCATGTGACTGTATGAGTGAACCAGCCGCTCAAACGCTGATCTACTTTCAGTTTCGAACAACTGGGCGGGGGAATTTGAGGGTTGCCATGTTGGGTGAAATCCCTCTTTTTTAACTCCATGGTGTAATGTGAGTGATACAATAAGGGCAGGTGTGGGCAGTAGATTTATATTAGCAGCACTGTGTAGAATGAAAATGATACTTCGGGCTGTTCATTGTATGATCAATCTTCATTGTTTTAAACACATCTCTTATGCTCATATATATACACTCCCCTGCAAAGAAAAATGGGCCGAGTCCAGAAGAGCTTTTAATGGTCTATACAACAACTCATTGGTCAGTAAAGTAAACAGGCAGACAGGGGAAGTTAGTATGGGAGCTTTTCTCTTTCATTTCTTTAAATATTAAGTTTTGTGTGAATAAAGAAATCTTGCTGTATAAGTGTTTTATAACATCCTGTCCACTATGTTACTAACGTCTCTGTAGGGGACGTTAAAGTCATTTCCTCCTATTGGGATTATAAGGTTCTGTCTGCGTTCTGAGCTGTTCTGAGATACTGAGCTTCAAAGAGTTTGCAGTCTAAATAGCCAAACTGATATATGGAACACGTCTGTGTCCCACATGAAAATGACAGACACCCTAAATGTGTTCTAAATCTACAATATCAACATCCTGTTAATATATAAATGTTCTTCTGGAACAGGTCCGATGGAGATAGAACCTTCTAACCCTAAGAACTCACTTTCTGCTTGGAGTTATAAGGTTCTGTCTGACAAAACATGAAAAGAAGCAACTATTTTTGAGGAACACAAACAGTTTATACTAATAACTCGTTTTAAAAAGATAAAATTAGTGCTGTAGCAGAGTGTCTGCATGATCAGAAAGTGAAATTTAATGCCTTTTTATGGCTTTTTAATGACATTTATTTATATTAATGTATTTTTTATAACATTTATTTTTTGTTTTAGGACAAATCATTTTTTCTTATCTAAAAAAGCCTTGCTGGTTAACTATTTGGTCAGTGCCAAATATTTTGTCCAGTGCAGAGTCAGTTTTAGGTAGGAACCATTAGTTTAAGTTTATTTAGTCAGACAGAAACAGCTACTCTAATAAACTGTCCCAGCAGGTCAGTATAAAATCAGTAAGAGGTTTTGTTTTATATTAGAAATGTGACTCTAATGAGATGAAATGTTTTATTTTGGGAGATAACAAGCTGGATGAATGAATGAATGAAATTAGTTTATGATGTAATTTAGACCCCATCAATTCAAATCCTCACTATTTCATTACTTAATATCTATAAAATTTAAGACAATAAGAGCTTTAAAAAAAATAAGTGACAGAGCCGCCTGCCCTGAAACTGGATTACAGTACAGCCGTACAGGAATGTCTGCCTCATATCTGACTGTTATAATTGATCTGGCATCAGCAGGTGAGTAAAAAAGTATAAATAGGATAAAACACTGACTCTGATTAACCACACAGACCTGTGTCAGTTTAAAATTTCAATGATCAACTAGTGCCTGAAGAGCTCATTGATCAGAGCCAAAGGTTAAACTCTGTGTTATTAGACAGACCACAGAATGGCAGAGTTACAGAGACTCTGTCTGCCAGACTGACCTGTGAGAATGTTGAAAAGTGTGTGTTACTGGACAGACTATCAGAGTTACAGAGACCCCGTCTGCCAGACTGACTTGTGAGAATGTTGAATATATAAACTTATGGTTCCTACCTAAAATCCCTTTTCTGGACTTGTTTATAGACCCTAAATTAATTCTGAACTATTGACACTGAATTCTTAACAGTGCAGTTTCTGTCAAAACTGATCGTTCAGCTGAAGTATTAAGAGAGGATTTCTGTATCTGTATCTGTAATCCATTAAATATTTGTAATATACTTATTCATGCCCTGTTTACATAGTTTCATATACCTGTTTACACATAGTTTTTTTTTAATTTGTTTTTGTTTTTTCATTTTTTTGTTACATTTCCAACCAAACGCTCTGCCATAAATATACATGCACAGATGCTGCATTTGGTTCAGTCAGGCACTTCAGTGAAGCTGCCTGGTAGTCAGTAACACTGCTGGATTACATTCAGTACAGTTACATCACATAAAATGATACTGTTTAAAGATAACAGCCCTCAGAAAGTGGGATAGGATCATCATATAGTCCTCAAAATATATAGAATTCGAAAAGCCTAACAATTCCAGTTACTGCATGCATGAACCTTAATAAAGGAGAAGGTCGCGATTGATACTCATGTTTGTGTGATGTTAATGTATAGGCATGACTGTGTGGTTGGCGAAGCACAGAGAACTCACTGGTGTGATTGTTTTTCCTCTGGTGGATTTGTATCAAACGTATTTCAGTTTATAACCTTATTTACAATGATTGTTAGTGCTGAGTATGGATTATCCACATTAGATTAGCACTTCTCTATTAAATGAGTGCCATCTCACTGTGTGTGGAGAGTCTAATATGGCATTCATACAAAGGAGATCTTTTATGGTCTCACTACTTTACAGCCACCTCAATTAAGATTTAATAATCAGGAAATTTGTCATATGAATACCTGGCGTGCATATTGATCCAATAATATCCTAATATCATTGAAAACACACACACACACACACACACACACAGAGGTTAAGGTTAAGATCTTTTGGGGTCAATAATCAGATTATATTTTGTAATCCAGAGTGGGATGCAGTACTGTGTGACAGCATGGTATAGCTGTTTTTTAGTAAAATTGAGATTGTAGGTCAATCTTCAAAGGATGATTTTACAGCAGCCTGTAGGGCAAATATGGAAAGATTATGTTTAGTTCTGTCTGATTTATCATGTTCTACATGGTGAATAAAACATTTTGTCTTTAAACAGACGTTTTAGAGCACCGAAGTCAAGACTTAATTAGCAACTTTTTATTCCTCAGCCAGTTGTGATACTTAATCAAAAGAGAGTGTTTAGATAAGAACATGTAGCAAACTATACACTCACTGTGCAATATTAGGGGTCATTTGGAGCATTGAGGAATCTGGTAATGGTGTAAAGGTGTGCAGGTGGCAGACGTACACAAGTCACTTAAGTAAAAGTACTAGTAATCCTATAAAACACTCAAGTAATAAGAAATATGACATTTTTTTTACTGAAAATGAAATAAAAAAGTGCTCATAAATGAAACTGAAATTAAAAATGCTCATAAATGTACGTAAAGTGAAGAGGAAAACGTTTTTCCTTAAAAATAATTTTTTAATTCAGTTTTATAAACAGGATATTTCTTTATTGACGGTTGGAGGTACACAGCCATCAAACTGAGTGTACATAATGGTTTAGACTAGAACTGCAGGCTTAATCCACAAAAGTCCACTCCTCTGGAGCACTCGAAGACGATTATATGTGTGTTAATACTAAACACTAGATCAGATTTTCAGACATGGAGTTACACACAAAAAAATCCACTAATGTCCTGCAGTGTCATTACATCAGTCTACAGGCCTTTCCTAACGTCAGCGCAGTCATCACCCCGCATATTCTAACAGTTCCCCCCAATACAAAACAATAGCAACCAATCAGAAAGCTGGATTCACACAAACACAGCCAACCCTGCTACACCTTCAGTTGAAAACATGCGTCCACTCAGCAGAGGCACAACTTCTGTCCAGAGAATTGACAAAACGAAGTTAAAATCAGACAGTTGAGATGTTAAACATACAAAGTTAAAGCTGCACCAACTTAAAACCTGATTATTGAAGCCAAAAACAGAGGTTACTGCCCAGCAGTGCAGACCCAATAAAAACAACATTAATCTAATAGCTGATGTGCAGAGATGAGGAGAAACAACACAGCAAACTTAAAGGCCTAAACCTCATCATCCTAGACTAAAGCATGTTGATGGTCTGTTTATGTTTTGCTTGTAATTATTCAATGCAGGTAACGTCCGTATAGGCATCTGAACATAACTGCTACATCACAAACCCGTCAGTCCCTTTACCTTAACGCACATATAAACCCGTCGGTCCCTTTACCTTAATGGACATATAAACCTGTCGGCCCCTTTACCTTAATGCGTAAAGCAAACTCTTCTCAGCCTCCAGTAGTTGCTGTGCATTGTGTAAGGGTGTGCCAAGCTTGCCTGTAGGTGGGTAATAACAAGTTTGCATCTTCTTGTAACAGAGAAAAAGGCTTGAACTCTGGGGGGGCAGTGTGGTGGGAGGCACCGTTGCCTTGCAGCAAGAAGGGTCTGGGTTCGATTTCCCGGCTGGGTGACCAGAGTCCTTTCTGTGTGGAGTTTGTATGTTCTCCCCATGTCTGTGTGGGTTTCCTCCCACAGTCCAAAGTCATGGGGTCAGGCTGATTGAAGATGCTGAATTGCCCATTAGTGTGAATGTGTATGTCTGTGCATCTGCCCTGCGACGGACTGGCGACGTGTCCATGGTGCTTCTTGTCTTCTGCCCAATTATTTTCCCAGCACCCCGTGCGACCCAGATGGACAAGAGTCTTAGACGATGGATGGATGTTGTCTTCATTGGTTCTGCCCGCTGTGGCAGTAATCTGGGTTTTTGGCTTTAATATTAGGTTCTAACATCTTTAACTTTGTAGGTTTAACTTTGTATAAGTTTCGGTCTGATTTGAACCTAGTTTGGTCATCTTTTCTGGACAGAAGTTGTGTCTGTGGTGAGCAAACGCAAGTTTTATTGTGGAGGTCCTGCAGCGTTGGTTGTGTTTGTGTGATTTCTGACTGGTTGCTATTGTTTTGTATTGGGGAAGTGTTGGAACATGACAGCACTGATGTAAGGAAAAGCCTATAGAGCCTATAGGCTGATTTAATGACTTTGCAGGACATTAGCATGCTGTGTGTGTGTGTGTGTCTGTGTGTGTGTGTTTTGGGCTGGTCTGCATCATGTAACTCATGTAAAGCCCTGTTTTTACAGGTCACTCAGACACATCTTTTGACCTCAACTGGGGCTTAAATGCAAAATATATGAAACACTGAAACAGTGCAATAGAACTGAAAGCTTTATAGCAACGATCGCTAAGCAGTGATGGAGGTTTTAAAGGAAAAAGGCGAAGCTTTCAGTTGGTATTTTGACTATATGTTGCTTATTCATGGATGACAATGACAATTTGGATTAGAAAACAAATTCATTTTTTATTAAAAAAAAATCAGCTTGGTACAAATTCTTATCCATTTGATGGGGTAGGCCTGTACCTTGTTGTTTTTGTTACAATTATTAACGTTATATACACAGGGAAAAATACTACTACTAATAATAATAATAATAATAAAATATTTTTGTAACATTCACACATTCAGTGTTAGTGTTTCGTTGCACATTTTGTCCCATTTCGTGTGTCACACAATAAAATTTATGGAAAATAAATAGCGGCCCCACATGACCTATGGGTAGGACATGACAACATTCCCTTATAGGACCAGTAAAGTACATAACAGAATAAAGTTGAATGAAACTGACTGAACAACGATCCCAGTACTTGTTTTTATCTTTACAGCCTCAAATTCTCTGCAGTACCATTATACCACAATCACACCAGGACTACATTTCCCAGAGTTCATTTCCGTGGGTCTGGTGGATGGAGAGCAGTTTGTTTACTATGACAGTAACATCAGGAAGAAGATCCCAAAGACTGAGTGGATGGAGAAGAATGAGGGTGAAGATTACTGGAATGAAGAGACACAGAGCAGTCAGGATCATCAGGATAGGTTCAGACATGATGTGGTTAATCTAATGAAGCGCTTCAACCAGACTGGAGGTGAGTCTACTGATGAGTAAAGAAGTGTTTAGAACAAGTGTGGAGTGTTTTTTGCTGTCATGGATTTATTCAGTGTGTGTGTGTGTGTGTGTGCAGGAGTTCACACACTGCAGCAGATGTACGGCTGTGAGCTGGATGATGATGGCACTATTAGAGGATTCTGGCTGTACGGTTGTGATGGAGAAGACTTCATCAGTCTGAATCTGAACACTGAAACCTGGACTGCAGCTCATCCTAAAGCTGTTATTACCAAAAGGAGGTGGGAGAGTGAAGATAAAGCTCCTCATGTTAAAGCCTACCTGGAGAATGAATGCACTGCATGGTTACAGAAGTATGTGGGTTACAGCAGATCCAGTCTGGAGAGGAAAGGTACAGTGATCTGATCTGTTACTGTAACTGTTCACTCTCACTGTTTCACCATCATCACTGAAAACCTGCTGATCATTTACTCACTGATTACTCACCAGAACATGGAGGAGAAACATCCATCCACTCAACACTGACTCACCTGATACTGACTCAGCATTAATACAGCATTAATACAGCATTAATACAGCTGATAATGAACAGCATAATTAACACTGTCACTGCAGTGAGACACGTTTGTGTTTAGCTTTGTTACATTATTGTAATAAACTGGTAATACAGGTAGTAATTTAGTGGATATTGACCATCTCTCTCTCGCGCTCTCTCTCTGTCTCTCTCTCTCTCTCTCTCTCTCTCTCTCTGTCTCTCTCTCTGTCTGTCTCGCTCTCTCTCACTCTCTCTCTCTGTCTGTCTCTCTGTCTGTCTCTCTCTCTCTCTCTCTCTCTCTCTCTCTCTCTGTCTCTCTCTCTCTCCAGTCTCTCCTGAGGCGTCTCTGTTCCAGAAGGACTCTTCTTCTCCAGTGGTGTGTCATGCTACAGGTTTCTTCCCCAAAGCAGTGATGATCTCCTGGCAGAAGAATGGAGAGGATCTGCATGAGGACGTGGAGCTCAGAGACGCTACCCAACCAGGATGGAACCTTCCAGAGGAGGAGCGTTCTGACTGTCTCACCTGAGGAGCTGAACAAACACGACTACACCTGCATCATTCAGCACAGCAGCCTGGAGAAGAAGGTGGTGCTGCAGGTGTCTGAACGCAGAGGTGAAAAAATAAACCTTACAAAATATTTCTGCTTTAACACATCACTGATAAGGTCAGCAGGTCAGTCTTACACTAATGTTTTTCAGGTGGAGGATCTGCGGACACCACTGCTGGAGATTATCGGTTCAATACTGGAATTGCAGTCATAGTTGTTCTTGTACTTCTCCTTATCGTTGTTGCTGGAGTGTTTGTGTGGAGGAGGTGGAGGAGGAGGAGGAGACCTGGTGAGTCAGACATAACTAAGTGTTTTTCACTATGATGTTATATATGTGTTATTGAGGATGTGTTCAGTGTTGCTGATCTTCTGTAGCTCTTTATATCACTTTTTCATTCACAGTTCATATGTGTAGCAGTTAATTTACAGTGGATGAGTATTTAGAGTATCTACAATCAAACAAACTGTTCATACTGCTAATCTTATATCTTTCATTTACCTTTAGGCTTCTAGCCTGTAACAGGAGACCACAGTGACCGTGAGTGAGCCTTTGTCAAATTAAATAACCATTAAAAACTAATGAATTATTTAGTTTATTGTTTAATCCTCTTTATTATGAATCTCTGAGTTTTAATGCTGAATATTTTATGTTTTATAGCCTCTAATGGAGAAGAATCATCTACCATCGTGTAAAGAGAGACTCACACTGGTTTGAGGCTGAGGCTGAGGCTGATGCTTCAGTGAAGACTGACCAGTCCAGCACTGTCTGGAATGGAAACTGCTCTATCTCAGACAGATAAACAATGCAGCTTCAGTGAAGACTGACCAGTCCATCACATTTTCTTCCATACCATTATGCGCGCGCACACACACACACACACACACACACATTCGTGTAATTGCCCCAAAGTGAGGACTGGGTAAAAGCCCAGGGAGACTGAGGACCATGGTTTCTGCTGCATCTAGAGACGAGCTGTTGAGTGTTGAGCCACTAGATGTCGCCCACATGCGGGGTGTCACTTGAAATTGAGTGAATAGTAGAATTACCGAAAAAGTTTTGTACCGCTAAACTGAGGACCGCTGGGCTCAAACAACATCATCTGAATGGAATCTGACTTTTAAACGCCCAGCGCCTCCAACTACTGCAGTACATTATTTTAATCAGACTGTGTTCGGGAACTGACTTTAATAGTCCTGTGTTTCCAGATTAAATAATAAAAGTCATGGCTAAGAGTGATTATTAAACACCTCACGGATTTTGCAGGACTTTTGTGCTTTAGCGATTAGCATAGCGAGCGCTTAGAGCCGCCATTACCGCCAGAGCCTGTGGAGTAGAAGGAGCCCGCCTACAAGGCTGTCTGACCAATAGTGGCTAAGCAGCGGAGGCTCTAGCCAATCAGGTTCTAGACCGTTCCGTACGGACGAGTAAGGAGTCCGCTCTGCTGCCCGAGCGCCGCCCCCAAACAGAACCACCGTTTCTGACTGGCTGAAACCTCCGTCAGTTAAAACACCGAGCTTTGCCCGCGATGGACTGAGATTCACCCCCGAATCAATAGAAGTACATTATCAGTACAGCAACAGTGACGCCACACGAAACAACTCGCTCAGAAAACGACAACCGGCTGCTAAACGAGTTTAAAATGCGGAGACACAGCAACACAACATTCACCACACCTGCAGCACAAACCGCGATTAAAGCTCAAACAGCACAGAATCACCACAAAAAGCACAGAATTACCACAAAACAACAACAACACAAACCTGCACATCGCAAAGAAGCACAACAAGCTCACACTGCGCAGCGGCAGCCATTAAACCCACTTTCCTCACCTTATGAAGACTAAAGCGCTGGACAATGTCTGAAGAGTGATGATTAAATCCTTAATAAACCCAACACCGGAACAAATCTGACCAGATGAGGACAAATAAGCTGTAAAAGTGGCGATTTACTAAACCAAAGCTCTAAAGTACATCAAAGCAGGTAGTTTAGCGATTTCTGAACAGGAGAACGAGCCTGTTTACGCACGACTTGATGGTCTGAATCTAAGAATCGATTCTAGAACCATTCGAGTCGACTCCTTTCCATCACTAGCGAATAGCTGAATGGAATGAACTCCTGAGGATGACTCGATTGAATCAACAGAATCGATTCCATTGTCATTGGTGGGTCTCAGAGAAGGGAATCGACTCTGTTGATTCAATAGAGTCGTTTCATCTAGTATATCCGCACTGTGCCGAGTCAAACTCTTTTTTAGTGCTAAATACTCAGTTGTTCATGCTCTTGTATTAGTTAGGAATAAAGCGAGGTGCAGCTTACCGAGGCCGTGATTCTGTTCATGTATTTGAAGTGTTATTTACATAATAACACTTCAATACTTCAACACCTTTCTCCCCCCTAAGTACAGGACAAACACATAACCAGAGTTTATCCAGCAGGTCTGGGTTTCCCGAAAGCACCAATGTCACTGCTAGAGTGCTAAAGTGAGCATTACATTCAACTCTCTCTACCAGTTAAGATGTTCATCATCCTTCCCTGGTTTGTCAAACATTCAGCAGCCTGTGAAAATGTGGATGTGTCACTTCCTGATAGTTCAGGTTATGTTGGCATTTAGAAGACATTCTTGCTCTAACATGGCCACTTCAACTTGGTTTGTTAAGCCCAGGGTCTGCCAGGGTTTTATTACACGCTTCTATAACCTAAGAGAATAGCTCAGTTAGTTTGCACTGAAGTCCCTGTAGTGACTGAATAATCAGCTCTAGTGTGTAATAAGCCTGGGGTGTTAAGGAGTTCATTATTTGATTGAATAAATCAGATGAAACTGCAGAAACAGAAGAAACAATGCAGATTATTTTTGAACCAGAAACTAGTATGTCTTGTAGTCATCATTAGCTGAAGAGATGAATGAATTTCCCCTGACTACCTATGGTCCATGAGTTTATCTGATCTGGTAACCATTGGTAATCAATAAGTGAATAATGATGCAGTGGGACTTGGAAAACTTGAAGAAATTTTACTTCCCAAATTTTAAGAGTGACTGTTGCATAAACATAATTGTTTATAATCAACATGAATTATGCCCAAGATAGTCACAATGATGACCAACATGAATGTCACAGTTCCATCACCAACATGAATTTGACTTTGTTTTGGTGAGACTGACAGTTCTGTTGTGGATGAAGTGTTTAACATCCCTCCATGTTGGAGATCTTAAAGTGTTCTCATTCTCGATACATGAAATGCAGTCCTTTTTCTGGAACCTCGTAACGTTCAAGGAAAACTCCCAAACGTCTGAGTACGGCAGCTGTTTGGTCTTCGCTCCACGCTCGCCTCCTGTGTTGAGCGCGGTCTGAAAGCAGCAGAGAAGTGAAGGTAACATGTAACAGTTGTAATGTGCGAACAGTCCGCCACCCAAATAACATCTGGACAACAGCGGTCCTGTGGTCAGACACTGACCAACGATGAATGGGGTATGGTGTGACTGATACACTGATGTGCCAAAAGTAATGGGATCAGAACTAGTATCACTCACTCACTGTCCATTTCATCAGCTCTGTTTACCATATAGTTATTTGGGTGGTGGATCATTCTCAGCACTGCAGTGACACTGACACACTAACACTTCACCACCACGTCAGCGTCACTGCAGTGCTGAGAATGATCCACCACCCAAATAGTGCCTGCTCTGTCCTGACTATTGAAGAATCATTGGGGTCCTGACCACTGAAGAACAGGGTAACAGAGTATGCAGAGAAGCAGATGGACTACAGTCTGTAACTGTAGAACTACAAAGTGAAACCGTGTGGTAAACAGAGCTGATATAATGGACAGAGAGTGTAGAAACAAGGGGTGGAGTTTTATGAATCTGGCCCGTTATGTTTAAGAGGACGTTCAGACCATTTCAGTATATACACATTAAAACTCACCACCATCTTCCATCAGCTTTCTTTTACTCTTAATACCTAAACTGATCACCAGTCTTCTCCATGAAGAGCCAGTGTTTTCTGTCCAAGCAGCCAGGATCAAACCTCATATTGCTAACAAATTCTTTGGAGAATGAGACCAAATGATGAACGTTTGGATTCAGGTGTGCGTCTCCTTAAAAGCAGTGAAAACCTGCAGTCACACTGGCTCCTTGTGAAAAAGACTGGTGACCCCAGCTCTAAAAAGTGCAGGGCAGTGCTTTAGAATAGACATGCTAAAACTCACTGGGCTGTTCTGTCAGCAGCTTCTTCTTCGCCTTCTTCTTACAAACAGTAGGGGGGACATAATCATCCTCCTCCTCTGTGAAAGAAAACAAAACATCATTTTCTTTTTATAGAACAGCTTTTCAAATACATTTTACAGAAGTTCATAACTGAAGGTGTCTCTGGTGATGAGATCACAATACTGCCAAAACACGTTCTCCTACGGCCCCTTGAGGTGGGGTTTCTTACATCATTTCCACTGGAGGAAGAGCACTGTGCACATTCACTATGTCAGTCTCTCACTGTGTTTCTTTTAAGTATTTAAGTATTTTAAATATTAGAGGTTTGATGTTTGAGCTGGTATTCAGGTTCGGCTGTGTCCGTTTCTCCAAATACCCTGGTAGCCTTGGTTATAAGAGGTTTTCTTTGCACCTTTTTGCATCCTCAGCCCAAATGAAGATGAGGCTTCTTGTTTCGCTAGCGCACCCGCCATGAGGAGCGTCTTACAGTACAGGAAGACCTTACAGTACAGAGCAATTTCAAAACAGTCTCACAGTTATTGCGTATTTTCTAGCAGGCCATGACGTGGATGATACAGGCGGTACTTCACTACAGTCAGGGATGCATCAAGACGCCTTCGTGTTTACACTACAAATGTAGTCATGCACGTCTCTGACCACCTCCGAATGTGGTTTGAGCAATCGGATTACAGTGTGTCTTCAAGACACACTGAACCCTTTTCACACTTGTACTTAGTGCTGACCACTTATGACCACTTAAGGCCTTAGACCAAGTTATTAAAGGGGTGAAGACTCACCATCCATTTCTGCATCTTCATCACTGTCTGTTTCCTTTCTTCTTTGCTGCTTTGCTGCTCTGTCTTTCTTTGGTAGGCTTTGCGCCTCATCACCACCTAAAATCGGCTTTATAAACAAAATGAGCTTCCTAGAAATACAACCCCATTTCCAAAAAGTTGTTGTGCAAAATGTAAATGAAGAGAAAATGCAATGATGTGCAAATCATTTAAACCATATATTCAACTGAAAATAGTACAAAGACAACAAATGTTAAAACTGAGAAGTTTTATTGTTTTTTTAAAACTATTTGTCCATTTTGAATTTGATGGCAACAACATGTTCCAAAAAAGTTGATGGTGCAGTCTTTCACAGAGTGGTGAACCCCTCCTCATCTTTACTTCTGAAAGACTCTCTAAGATGCTCTTTTATACCCAATCATGTTACTGACCTGTTGTCAATCAACCACCAGGTGTTTTTTAGCATTACACAACTTTACCAGCCTTTTGTTCCCCCGTCCCACTTTTTTGGAATGTGTTGTTACCATCAAATTCAAAATGGACAAATAGTTTTCAAAAAAACAATCAAATTTCTCAGTTTTAACATTTGTTGTCTTTGTACTATTTTCAGTTAAATATATGGTTTAAATGATTTGCACATCATTGCATTTTCTCTTCATTTACATTTTGCACAGCGTCCCAACTTTTTTGGAAACGGGTTTGTACAGGCATTAAGACTCAGTTTCCCAGACAAGGATTAAGTCTAGTCCTGGACTACTTTTTTATTTGAAAAGAGAACCTCATTTCAAAATGCAGTCTGGTCTAAGAAAACACTTCATCTCTGTCTGGTAGACCAACCCAAAGGTGTATATAGATATACATCATTCCCCAACAGGTGGACTACAGGCTTTAATGGACTTGGTGCACTTAAGACTTGTTACACAGTTGGTTCAGGTAAAAACTGCACAGCACTTTGATTGTGTTTTATACAGTGGTGCAGTAATTGAGCCTACAAATGTGTGTATTAGCTAGACAATGATGTAGCACCCAAGACCATAAGAGGATGTGGGGGAATGGGAGAGTAGAGTGAGAGAGTGGGGGCAGTTAGTAGGCAAAACATACATTATGAGGTCCAGTGAGGTGGGGATAGATTGTAGAGCCACCACACTTTGTTGTCCCAACAGGCTGCCAACCATATCCCAGTTTGGTGACCCTATGGCCAAAGGTTAAGGAGATACTGCCTTATACATATGGCAGCTGTATTTTGGATTCTAGTCTGTGAGTGGGCAAAATATACATTCTAAGGTCTGGTTGGGTGGGAGATGGTCATGCAGCTACCAAACTTGAAACATTTTGTCGTCGCAACAGGCTGCTGACCATATGCCACTTCGGTGACTCTAGGCCCAAAGGTCAAGAAGATACAGCCTTATCTATACGGCAGCTTTAATTTGGTGGACAAATGAATGCATTTTTCCATTCATTAAATGACACAGTAGCAGGCAACAACACAGAACAGAAGTGACTTTGATCATACAGGATCATTAATCTGTGAATAAAACAGTGACATTGGTGCTTTTGGGAAACTCAGCCCTGCTGGATAAAACTCTGGTTATGCTGGTGTTTGTCCTGTACTTAGGGGGGAGAAAGGTTTTGTAAGTACAAATGTGCATCTTATATGTAAATAA